GTCATCTGTGGAGACAGGAGATAAGAACCCCTGATGCTGGGGGAGGCTGCTCCCCTGCTAGGCCAACACCCCATCCTCATGGAGCAGCTTCCAGAACTCCTGCTTCCTCCTGAGTCAGACCCTCCCCCGACCAGAGTCACACTGAGAACACCAGAGCAAGCCCCAGCCTGCAGTCTCCTTGGGGCCAGCTGCTCCATCTCCAGACCTCAGACCTGCAGAGAGGCAGGTACAAACTCGAGACTTGCTCTCCCAGACCATCTAGTCAGAGTGCGCCCTGGCAGGAAGGCACGTGACTTTTTCACCTCCACCAGCGAAGGGGCCAAGCCCAGCGTTGGCTGAACTGGACCCAGTTTCAACCACAACTGTTTTTTCCCTTCTTCGTGAGAAAGGGCCCCAGCAGGGGGACCTGACTTCAGCGACAGCATGTACATCTGTGACTGTACACTGAGCGCCTGTTGTGTGCTGGGCATTGTATCCAAGGACCTCCTCTTGTCTTCCCAGTCCTGGAGCTCAGCAGCAGCTGGCCCATTTTACAGAGGAGCGAACCGTCTAGCAAGGTCATGGTAGCTTCTTGAGCTTTCACAGCCGCAACAGCAGAAGCTGGAATTTTAACCAAAGCTTGTGCAGCTCCAAAGCCTGTGCCGTTTCCACGACGCAACACCCCCGTCAGAGGAGGCAGTGATCTGCCCCTCCTTCCCCGGGGCCCAACCACAGTCTTCTTTTAGGGGAAGCTGGGTTTGGGGTGTCAGAGAGTGATTCTGAAAGCCCACTCACCTGATGGGACAAGGGGTGGGGTGGGGCGGCTGGAGCAAGAATAAGCCACTGAGCGAGTCATCCCGCTTCGGAGAACCCCACTCAAACGACGTGGCTCTCTCACGGGACTCAGGCATGAAAGAGGCTATGAATGGCCCTGAAACTCCTGGAGAATCCCCCCGGACACCTGGGCACATCCTGCCGGATGACTTTTTATAAACATACCAAACGTGCACATGATACCAAATCCTGAAGATATGAAGTGATGTACAATGAAAAGGAGGGCTCCTTCCTACCCCTGTCTCCAGGCCTCCCTCACACCACCCTTCCTAACAGAAAGAGAAGGTAACTGGTATCCATTTCTTAAGAGCCTCCAAAAGAGAGTTTATGCATTGGTAAGCACAGGGGAGTCTCTTTTTCTTCACACACGTGTGGCACACTACCTAAGCCATTCTGTCCTTTGCTTCTTTGATTTCTTGGATCTTAGAGATCACTCCAAATCTGCCTGTAGGGAGTTGCAACAGACAGTCCGTTACACAGAAGCACTAGAATTAGCCAGTCAGCCCCTTACTGATGGACAGTTCGGCTGGCTCTGCTCTTCATTATGACAAACCATGAGTATCTCGCATGGTCATGGTGTACATGTGTATGTATGCAAGATGAGTTCCGAGAGGTAGAATTGCTAGTGCTTATTAAATACAATATGTGATTTTTAAAATTTCAGTGGATTTTGCCATGTGCCCTCCCTCGAGGGTGCCGCAGTGCGTAGCCCACACACAGTGAGGGGCAGCACAGGGTGCACTTTTTATACGAGGGAAAACCTTTAGCTGGAAGAGATTAGCTGGGGGCAGACAGGCCCAGACATTCATCCTGGGACAGGTGACAAGGTGAGCCAGCATCACCGACAGGCTGCTCCCTGCAGGCAGGCCACCCACTTCACAGATAAGAAAACAGACTCAAGAGAGTTGACGTGTCTCACCCAGGGTCACGGCCTGGAATCCTGTAAGCGCAGGGCAATTCCCCCCATGTAGGGTACCCTTCACCCTCGGATATCACCTATGGTCTCCTACGCTGATCTGGCCACAACTTGGAAAACCCAGCTCCCTTCTACTGTGAACTGAAAATAGTTGGGCCACCCACATGGTTTAGGGCTTCCCTTGTCATTTCATTCCCGCCCACAAGAGACCAGGACCTACCCCCACATGTACACACACACCCAGCTGCTGTCTCCAGCCTACTTGGGGCCCACAGAGCCCCGACCATCCACAACTCTGAGGTGAGTAGCAGTGATTACCCTGGACATTCATCCACCCACCCAGGGACCTGAAAAACTCAACACAGCCTCTCCATGGTTACTGCTGGGTGATGGGCAGTGAAGGCAGGAAAGAAGTGACAGTAACGTATGAGCCATGGGCATTCTCATCAGCCCCCCTGGAAACAGAAGCAAGCATGGTGAAAACAGTTCTCGGATAAAAACCGACAACATAATGCCATTTGCAGCAACATGGATGTTCCTGAAGAATGTCATTCTAAGTGAAGCCAGAAAGAGAAAGAAAAATACCATATGAGATCGCTCATATGCGGAATCTAAAAAATAGCAAAACATAAATACAAAAACAGAAACAGACTCATAGACGTAGAATACAAACTTGTGATTGCCAAGGGGTCAGGGGGTGGGAAGGGACAGACGGGGATTTCAAAATGTAGAATAGATAAACAAGATTATACTGTGTAGCACAGGGAAATATATACAAGATCTTGGGGTAGCTCACAGAGAAAAAAATGTGACAATGAATATATACATATGTTCGTGTATAACTGAAAAATTGTGCTCTACACTGGAATTTGACACAACATTGTAAAATGACTATAACTCAACAAAAAAAAATGTTAAAAAAAAAAAGTTCTCTGACTTTGTCCTTGGAAAGTACCTCCACATCCACTAACTCATTTCATCTCCACAGCAGTTCTCTGAGTTACACAGGGCAGGGATTCTTATTCATTCTTCCCATTTTATAGATTTTTTTAAATGAAGTATGACTTGTCCACTACTAGAGAAGGAAAGAGACTAGAGGCAGACCCAGGGTTTCTGGTGCCTAATCCTAGTCACATCCTGTTCTGTACCCACAATAAGCAACCTCCTAGAGATATGAAATGTCTGCAAAAAAAAATCCCTTATCTGCCCACATCCAGAATGAGTCACCCTGTCCCTAGAAGTGCTATCTGGGACCCTCCAATACATGTATATACGTGAATTCCTTTCCCTGGGTCCTCATCTTTGTTTCAATTACATAGGTACATCCTTTGTGAGGAGATTTTTGGGATGTTTCTGATGGGTGGCTTTGCACTGTATTTGAGTGCCTGGCTTGGCCTCTGGAACATGATAGGTGCTCAATAAAAGTGTGTTTCTTGGTTGTCTAAGAGGATGGACAGATGGATGTATGGATGGATGGATGGATGGGTGGATGCATTAGTTTAATTTGTTTCTTTGCTTGTTTATTTTGTTTGTTTTTATTTTCTTACACAGCATCCATTCCCCCTTCCAAATATCACCTTGACATCCTTTTGTGGAATTACTTCTCCCCCAGCATATACAGTCTCAGTGGTAATGCCGATCGGGTGTTCTATCTTCTCCCAACCACGAAACAAGCAAATAACACCAGCTTGGCTGGTTATCATTCCTCCCCTAGGACAACAAATCCTTAGCAGATTGAGATGTAGATCAGAAAAATGGCTGGAGTACATTTATTTCAACAGTGGTACCCTGGTAAGATTGTCAAGTAGTAACTGCTGCCCAAACACCCAGAGCTTCTTTGGTTTCTCATCCATCCTTTTTCCAAGTCAGGTTCTCCGATGTTCTATCCATCCTATGAGCTACTCAACTTTACCCTCAGTATGTTACCTTCCTGCTGAAGTTAGCCAGAGTTGTCTTCTGCACTTACAAACAAAGCATTTTAAATGACACAGCTGTAGAGATAAATGAATGGATGAGTGGGTGGAGGAATGGAAGGAGGGAAGGAGTGAATGAAGGGAAAAGGCAGAGCAGTGGCCGAATGTGCGAATGCAGTACTGCCCATGGAAGGACTTACATGAGTCCCAGGCCTTGGAAGGATGAGGGGGAAGAAGGGATGATAATGGGAAGCCCTCGGCCCTACCTGCAGGAGGGGTGGTATGAGCTGATTTTAGGGGCAACAGGACACCGACCCCCAAATCTCCTCCAGGACACTAGAAATCCTCTAGTTTTTAATCTTTTAACTGAGAATGGTCTCAGAAATAATATTGTCAAGCTTCCGTTTTCTAGTTGAGGAAACTGAGGGCCACCAAAGGGCAAGAGGTTTGCCAACATCTCACAGCTAGGTTTGGAGCTGAGCTGGGACTAGACCTCAGGTCTCCTAATTCCCGATGCCTTGCTCTTTCCACTGCCCAAAGCTGCCACTCTAAAGAAATGACTACAGTGCAGAATTTCCTAATCTCATTTTGAGGAAATTCCCAAGGGGACTTCCTCTCCTAGGCTGGAGGTGTGAAAAAATGGAAATGCCTCAGGAGGTTCTAAGGTCCTTCTAGTTGTGGCCCAAACGCTCTGCAGGCAGGGAGAGGGGCCAGGGAGGCGACGGGGAGGAGAAGCAAGGGACTGCAGGCGCCCATCCCCAGGAAAGGAAGCAATGCACAAGAAGCCAAGGGGCTTCCCAGGACCAGCTCAGTAAAGGGGCAGAGTCCAGACCACAACCACAAGAGTCCTGTAACATTCTGAATCCTGTGTCACTTCCTCTGTAAGTCTGCGTGTGAAACTCTTTGAAAAGGGGTCTGCGTGCTGGCCTGCAGGGGCAGCCAGGAAGGGAGAAGAGGGGACCATGGCTCCATCACGGCCAGGCTCAGAGAGAGAAATCAGGGAAGGACAGAGCATTGGGACTGAGCCTCTGCAATCTGCTGCACAGAGGGCAGGAGAGCCCAAGGCAGGCCTGAGTCATCGCCATTGTCTACATTTTCTTCCTAATAAGTGAAGTAACGCCTAAAGTATCTAGCACAGTGCCTAAGAGCTCGTGGAAAATCACCGCCAACTCCCCCTCGCCGGCCCCCATGGCTCCTGACACAGAGCTGAGAGGAACACCTCTGAGGAGGGGTGGGGGTACTTTGAGGGAAGCAACACTGGAACCTGGACATATGGGGAAAGAAAGAGAAGGCATTCTTTTCTGAGTATCTACTTATGCCAAGAATGGTGCTGAGCGGGCTGCTGATCACCTCATTTAATCCTCTGGGGTGTCCCAGGAGCCATGATTCTCAGCCCATTTCTAGAAAGGAAATCAAAGTGTAGACTAGTTAATAACCTGGCCAAAGACACACAGAGAGTCTGACTTCAGCCCCAAGTTTGTCCATCTTCTCCAGGCTTTCTCCTGGAGACTGGGGACGGCGGAAGGGAGGGGGCTCCTGTGCTCTGGACGTATTCACCAAGAAAGGGAAAGGCACTGACAAACCCACAGAGGAAAACAGAGACAAAAAACAGTCTCAGGAGTGTCAGGAGGAGGAGGAGGACCTGAAATCATCCATCAGCCCGCAACTCGGGGAGACTCGGTGCTTCCGGCTGGGCCTCGCTCCCACGGCTGCCCTGCCCCCCAGGATACCTTGCGGTGGGCTCCAGTCCCCCAGAGCGGGTGAGCACATCGGTAAACATGCCACCTGTGGTCTCCAGCTGCAGAAAACAAGCGGGCGGGCACAGCCACTGTCCCATGTGGTGAAGGTGAGAAGAGGTGGGGGCCAAGCTGCAGCCCTCCGGCCTGACGGTGGTTGAACCAGGGGAAAGGTTGTCAGACCCCTGACACAGTGAGATGTACCACGTGACGGGGAAGGGTGGGGAGGCGCAGAATAGAATGACATAGAAAGAACAGACCGGAGCTGGACCAAAAAGCAAGGGCAGGATGTCGCAGGAGACGTCTTGGGTGGGGTGTGCATCCTGCCCCTCCACGGGCAAGTCCCCTGCCCCGGCTGCGAGGCCTCCTCTTACACCTTCACGCTGCTGCCCGCTACGACCTCCACCAGCACTCCCGAGCACCTACCCCAAGCAGGGCCCCGTAGACACAAGGAAGGGGGAGACAGCCCCTCACTGGTGGGAAATACTGGCTCAGGTGGGAAATATCTGTGTGGGGACACTAGGGCAGAGAAGGAGAGACAACCAGAGGGCAAATCTCCAATTTGTAGATGGAGAAAATTAAGGCTCATCGGGAGGAAATGACCTTGCCCCGGGCTTCTCTTGGGGCCCAGATGGGGATTCCTAGAGGATGGAGGAGAATTCCCTGCTTCGGACATTGTTTGTAAAAGCAGCCAGAAAAGCCAGAGCTGCTCCCCACACAGTCACGGGGCGGCGGGGGAAAAGGGGGGGAACTCCAGGTCGGAGCAAAGCTTCGGAATCCAGATGGAATGAGGTTTCACTTTCTTTGCCTGCCTTGGGTTTCCTAACGTCACCGTGTGAGGCTGGGCAGGCAGCCAGCTTAGCTTAGGAAAAAAGCAAACGAAAGAGGAAAAAGGAAGACTGGGGCAGGAGGGCAGGGGAGGGGCCGCACTAGGCTGGGGGGAGTGTGCGTCCAGCTTCAGGGAGGTATATGCTAGGAAAGGGGCGCAGGACGTTTGAGGGTTGAGGAGAACTAGCCCTCTGAACTCGAGAGGCCCATCAGTGAGCCTGCCAGGTACCATACTGTTTACACTGGTCCTCTGATTTCCTCGTGGCATCAGTATATTAGAGCCAGAGAATATACTGATTCCTTGAGTCCAAACTCTGATTTTGCACAGGAGAAAGTGAGTGGCAGAAATGGAATTACAACTAGGTTCTTCTCTCTCCTCTACACCCCACAATTCACTGGAACCATCCAAAGGGAAGGAAAGTAATCCTGACGTACCCATTGTCTATTTCTGCTTAAGAACCCCGTCATCCTACCCCCGGACCCCGCAACTTCCAATACAACTTATACACAGACGTACACACATACTTACACACAGCAGAAAAGTTCACCAGGATTCAAAGATGAGGATGGTGTTGGTCCATCTGTGGTTCCCTCACCTCTATCCTCAGCTAGTGTGTTTGGTATCCAGGAAAGGACCTTCCTTTCTTCCATAAAGAGGGAAACTGGTAAGGGAAGCAGAAATAGAGCTCACGTGGAAAAACTGAGCCTTAGCGAGAGTTCTGGGATTTCTCTAGAAGCAATGCAGTCAGTGTGGTAGGAAGTCTATGAACCGAAATGTATTTGCATCCTGTGTTGAATTCTACCACTTTAAGAAAGTCACTTAACCTCTCTAAGCCTCCACTGACCCATCTGCTTCGAAATAAAGTATATAATAAAGTATATAACAAAGTTCGCTAATCTATACCCGTTGGTCTAGATTGCTGAAAAACCTGAAGTAGAGAAGAGCCTTAAAGGGGCTGCCATTTGCTCACTCTTAGTAACATGGCAGCAATAGCTAATGTAATTAAGCACTTAGGGTCAGGCCGCGTACTAAGAGGGTTACCAGCTTGAGAACATGTGTGGGAACTTAATGGTCTCACCAGCTGTGGGAGGGGCCATTATCCCTGACTTAGAGATGAGGAAACAGACCAGAGAGATGAAGCAATGTGTTGGAGGCCACCTGGTTCCTAAACGAAAGAAACACCAAAGCCCCTGCTCTTAACCACTAAGCCACACGGCCTCCTAGTTTGGTGACTAAGGGGACCAGGTAGAGGGAACAATTCCAAAGCAGGCAGATATGTTTGTGTAGATGGTTGAGTGTTTCTTAAGTGTTCGCATTTTATTTCCTCAAAGGAGATGGGCCAGGCTTTCCAAAGTTGTTTGTCTATTGTTAGCTGGTTAACGAGTCAGGAGGGAATGAGAGGATTCTTGGGACAAGCTCAGAACAGCACCTGGTACCTAGAGGGGCTGTAAGGACAGTTTAAGGGCCTGATGGACTTGGTCAGCGGGAAGAGCTGGAGCCCGGCCATCAGAAACACTTGGGCTCAAGTCCCACCTATCAGCGGTGTGACCTCGAGGACCTTAATGACCTCTTCTGAGGCTCAGTTTGCACATCTATAAAAGGAGAACCATAACCACCCTGCCTCAAAATCTTGGTAAGGATGAACTGTGACAAATTCTCCCCTTACCAGGTGATTCAGTTACCCTCAACCACTAAGTTACATACGGGACAGTAGCTAGCAAGAAACATCTTCGGGGTAAAATTACATTTTTTAAGTTACTTTTTTTTTAAAAAAAATGTGTTTGCCTTTGTCACTGTCAGTAGATACTTTTAGATAATTCAGAAGTCAACTTCAGCCCAACCCAGGCTAAACTGTCACTAATTCTGAATTATCCAAGTAGGAGTTAAATGAGGATTGACTGTATCCAATCCTCTGGAATGGAGGAAGAATGCCAGATCCAACCAAGACCACCACCAGGGTTCAGTTTCAGGGATGCCCAGCCACGAACCTTTCCAAGGTGAGCAGTGCTTAGTGGGCGGAGCACTGAAGTGGGAGCCAGGGCACCTGGGCTCTGGTCTCGTCCTTCTGCCCCTAGAGAAGCAGCTTCCTGACCTCTGGGGAGGACCCCTGCCCTGGCAGACGAAGCTGAGGATGCCAGCAGAGGAAGAGATTTTCCACCACCGCCGCTTGTGCTGGCTCTTCCTGAGGGCAAAGAGGGAAGTGATGAGCTCACCCTGGATCGGAGGGCAGTGAGGAGAGAGAGAGAGAGGAGGGGGAGAGAGAGAGAGAGAGAGAGAGTAGAGAGAGAGGGAGAGAGAGAGAGAGAGAGAGAGTCATATTTCCGGAGGCCATTTCAGTTTTCTTTTCCATTTTGTGCAATTTCACTTATATCAGCTAGTGTGTGGCTGCTGTGCTGGAAACTCCCCCAGTGGGGGCGCCTCCTCTACTGATCTGGCTCCCTATAAAGGGCCAACTTGAGCTGCAGAGAATCCCTGCAGAAGATCCTAAGAAGGCGGGTGGACCCCACAGCCTCTGCCCACAGCTACCATGAAGGTCTCCACTGCGGTCCTCGCCGTCATCCTCGCCGCTGCCACCCTCTGCGTGCCTGCGTCTGCCTCCCCATGTAAGTCCAGGTCCTGACTGGGGCCCTGACTGCCGCAGCCCTGCGGCCCAGACCTCGCCCTCCTTTCAACCATAGCATTTACACTGTCTATGATTTACATCCTTCAGTATTGCTTTATACCCAGACGTCCAGGTGTCCCAGAAAGATCTCTAAGCCACTTCATGGCAGGGACCCTCTGATCAACTTATCTGTATCTTCAAGGTCTCCACCCCAAGCCCTGTGGGTGCTCACTGAGTGTGGACCGATGCTGGGGATGTCAGTAGGCAGGGGCAGCTCAAGCTGATCTGGAAACATGACTGACTCATCTCTATCACCAGCAGGGTTTCTAACAAGCTTCTAAGCCCTTAGCTAAAATTCTCCTGGGACAATCATAATCTTCCCCATTTCATAGATGGAAAAATATGGGGCTTGAGAAAGGATAATAAAAGTTAATTAAAAGCTCACTGTGGGTCAAGTATTGTGCTGATTGCTTTACATATACTATCCTATTTAATACTAGCGTCTACCCTTTGAGTAGCGGCCCTTGACTTATAGAGGCCCAGAGAGGTTAAGTAACTTGTCCAAGGTCACACAGCTAGGCAGTGAGGAAAGTAGGGTTCAAACCCAGTTCTTTTTTTTTTAACATTTTTTATTGATTTATAATCATTTTACAATGTTGTGTCAAATTCCAGTGTTCAGCACAATTTTTCAGTCCTTCATGGACATATACACACTCATTGCCACATTTTTTTTCTCTGTGAGTTATCATAACATTCTGTGTATATTTCCCTGTGCTATACAGTGTAATCTTGTTTATATATTCTACAACAAACCCAGTTCTAATTGGCTCTGACACTACCACTGTGCTGGGAAATGGTAACTGACACTTGCCGGGGTCATCCTGAATTAACTGACCAACAAAAACTCCTCCTCCTCTGTTCAGAGCCCTTCTCAGGATGCAATATGCATCTTCAGGACCCTCTTAGGGGTCCTGGCTGAGCCATGAAGTCTGAGTTTTGGAAGCCTCCCACCAACTCACCCCGGGTCTCAAAGAAACCAAGTTCTGAATCAGTTAAGAATCCTAGGAGGGCAAGAATAAGGGCAGAGGGCCAGCATGCCCTGAGTGCCAAAAGTATGGGGTTATGGTGTAGAGGGCAGGATGCCAACTGGGCTCAAGGATTAGGTGAGGCACTGGGGAGATCCTCTCAGTCCTCTGTTGGAATCCCCACTCTGCCACTCGGTGTCCATGGCCAAGTGACTTTACCTCTCTGATCCTCAGCTTCAGCCGAAAGAGTCCATGTAAGATGAGTCATATAAAATGCCAGCACAATACCCAGCGTGCACCAGTAATGAATCCAGGGGTCTCCTTCCTTCCTTCCTTCCCCCAGATGCCTCGGACACCACACCCTGCTGCTTTGCCTACATCTCCCGCCCGCTGCCCCGCGCCCACATCCACGAGTATTTCTACACCAGCAGCAAGTGCTCCATGGCAGCAGTCGTGTGAGTCTCAGCCCTGTGGAACCCTCCAGGGGGCGAGGAAGGGACACCTTTCTTCCCAGGGTTGGTCCCCTAATCAGGAGCCCTCGAAGAGAGTCCCCCATCCACTCCCACCCAACCTCCAGCTGCTCAAATAACCACGGCTCCTCCATCCCTAGCTTCATTTTCACCAGCTCTCATGGAAAAAGATTAGACGAGGTGTTCTCGCAGGACCCTCCCCACTCTGATGGACCAGGTCAGGTCTCCGATCTTAAAGGATGTGACTGTTACTTGAACGTGATCTGTTCAAGTAGCAGTCGATCCAGTTAAGAACCCCACAGTCCCCCATACCCTACACCCAATCAAATACACCTGCAAGCTCAGAGGACCTAGAAAGGGGAGGTCAGAGGTCAGGGCCCTAATTGCAGTCAAGTATGTTTTTTAAAAAGTTATTGATTGATGAAGAAATAATGAAGTAAGATTCTCCTTTAAATAACCACAAGCTACTACATTTGGAGAAGTAATAATCCTTGCTACCTAGGAGGTGCCTACTGTGTGTCAAATGTTTTACATGCATTATCTCTAAATTTTATAACATCCCTGCTAGGTATGCATAATTCTCTCTGTGTTTCAGAAAATAAAACTGAGACCCAGAGAGGTTTGGTGACTTGCCCAAGGTTGCACAGTAAGTGAGGGATGGAGCCCGTCTCTGGAGCCTCATCTTTCTACTCTAGCAAGGTCATTAGTGATAGTTGCTTAAGAAGATTAAGAAGTTGCTTAGAAAATGAAAATGGGGCAATCATGAAGTTTGCTATGTAATGATGAAGGCTTTTAATCCAAAAATGCCTGTGACTCTGGCAAAGTTCTAGGTGTTCAGAGTTGGCCTTTGGGCCTGATGAATCCTTCGAAGTGCAGCAGTAATATTTAGCTCTACGAGTTTTATTCCTGAGAACAGATAATTTTTGAAAAGAAAAATCCTTTTTTGAGCACCTATCATGGGGCAGGCAAAGAGGAGTAAAGCACCGCCCCTGCGCTTTGGGGCTCACAGCCTAAGACGCACGCAGCAGGGGCAGGACACCCTGTGAAAAACCATTACAAAAGGACAGAGGGAACGTGGCGTGCTTCAGGGCTTAGGAGAAGCGATTTGGGGGAAGCCTGCTGCCAAAGGTGCTGCCTTGACACAGGGTTAGGCTGAGAGACTGGGTGTATCAGGCAGAGGGAATGTTGCCAGGACACTCCTTTTGTTTTTGTAGCATCTCCGTGTAGGAAAGCACTGAGGGCCTTGAATTTCAGTACCACGTGTGGGAAATGAGCGGGAACAGGGAAAGCCTGGACAAGAGGGGTCCAGCGAAGAGGCTGTTGCTGTCCACGTGAGTGGTGTTGAAGGCTGAACAGGGCCTGAGGGGAAGGAAAAGAGAGACAGGTGGGAAACCATCAGGGGTGGAATCAGCAAGCCGAGGCAGGTGACGTGAGGTCGGGAGCAAGGAAGAGAGAGGGGTCGAGGGCGATGCTGAGGTTTCAACCCAGAGAGCCAGAGGAGGGTGGAGGCCCCTGAAGTCCCAAGGAAGAGCTGTTGGAAAGGAAAGGGCCAGGGTGCCAGCACAACAACCCGGTGGAATGCAAAAGTGTGAGACGAGGGGTTGGTAGCTGAGGAAAGGGTGGTGGGGCCGGAGCTGTGCCACTCTTTTATAGGAGGAAGGGGTCTCCCAATGGAAGTGCAGAGACACAGCATCGTCTTGGCTGCTCCAGCTAGTCTGCCTTTCTTAGAATCCTGACTCTGCCAACTGGTAGCTGTGTGAGCGTGGGCTGGTCACTGAACCTCTCTGAGCCTCAATTTCTTCATCTGCAAAGCAGAGTTAAATAGAAGTATTTCCCTCACTGGGTCAAAGTGAGAATAATAAAATGAAAGATAAAATTCGATTATTTCCTAGCACACAGTAGGTGCCTGATGTTAACTTATATCATCATCCTTCTCTCCCTTTAAATCTATTATTATATACATGGAAGTGACAGGTCAACTTGATGAGTGAATGCAATTCACTCAGTCACTAATGTATTCAATAAACATCCACTAAGCACCCTCGCTGTGCCAGACCCAGGGCCAGAGACTTGAGGAATCGCCCAGAAGAGGGCAGCAACCTTGAGCACAGCCGCTCTCAAGGAACAGGGGAAGGTGGAGGCTCCCAGCGAGACTGAGCCAGATGAGGGGTAGGAGTGAAGTCAGGCCAAGAGAGTGTCCCCCAAGAAGGGCAGGGAAAGAAGGCTTGGCAACGAGGGGCTATTACTCAGTATCACATTCTGGGGGGAGGAGGAGGAGGAGGAACAGGAGGCCTGAGCAACCCTCCTCCTCAGTGTTGGTTTTCTGGTCTTTCGACTTCCTGGCCACAGGCCAAGGGGATGGAGGAGGGAGGTCAGTGACTCTGCAGGATTTCCTGTGTGACACCTGCCTTGACAAGGGCAGGGTCTGGGTCGGAAGCATCCTCACCACCCCGAATAAGATGGCAAATACTAGGAGGCACCAGAGCCCAGAACACCCCTTCTTCTCCATCTCTCTTCTCTGCACGCCAGGGCGAGGGAAAGGGAGGTGGTCAAGGCGCACTGAGTGAGGCTCAGAGAAGGGGAAGCAGCTTCCCCGAGAGCAAACACTGTCTGTGATAGAGCTGGCAAAGGGGCCAAGAAATCCTTTCTTGCCAGACAACCTAAGACTTCACTTCTGGGCTCAAAAAAGAGCAAGAAAGCAACCTGAAGGGGAAGCCCGAATGAGAAAGGTCCAAGCAGGCCGGGCAAGCTAACGGTAACATGTTAATTAGCAGCACTGCTTTCCAGGCCCAAGGTGCTCCCCCAGACAGAACCTGTCTCCCAGGAAACAGGTGAGGCAGCAGCTGGACTGAGCCCGTGACCCCCCAGCCTTTGAGACCTCCCACTTAGACCATCGACACCTGTAGAGATAGGGCCTCTCGTCCTCATGGGCCTCCACGTTCTGGCCAGTTAATTGGCAGAAGGGCTTTGACATCTGCTAATATCTCAGGGTCCTCAACCTCTCTGAGCCATGGTGTCCAGAACCAGGACCCTTGGTCTCACGTTGCTCCGATCCACCATAAGGCCAAGGTCCCACCACACGTTTGGTATTTTTCAAAACTAATTTACACGTACTGTCTCACCTGAGCTTCACAGCAGTTGTGCAAACTAGGAGCCATTTCTCTCTACATTTGAGATGTAAGCACATAGACTCAGAGGTCCCAAGTGATTTCCCCAAGGTGACCCAACTAGTAAGTGGCGAAATCAAGACTCAAGTTCATGCCCTTCTGCCATTTACCCTGGCACGCAGATGTGCCCCTTTGTTGAACTGCATTATCTAAAACCAAATCACATGTGTGTTTGTTTTTACCACTTCTTTTCTCCCACTTACTCAGCCATGACTCAGTTGGAGGACAACTCTTTTTCTCTGCATCTTTAGCAACCAGCACAGGGTCTGAAACAGGAAGTGCTGACCAGCTCAACCCTGGGCTCCTCAGGCCCCGTATCCCCTTGGCTCTCCAGGCTGCACGTGTTTGTGCGTGGGGGTTAAAATGCACACAAATCTGCTTCTGGCTTGGAGCCCTTTTTGACCCAACAGAAGAGGAAATGGCCCTTCCTTGAAAGCCACAAATATAATCTTTTGGAACTCCAAAACTAACACACCCAGTAGCATTTCCCCCCACCTCAATCCACCTCATCCCCAAAGCAGGCTGTCCCAGCACTGACCGGGTCTCACCCTCTTCTCTCCCACAGCTTTATCACCAGAAAGAACCGCCAGGTGTGCGCCGACCCAGAGAAGAAATGGGTGCGGGAGTACATCAACTCTTTGGAGTTGAGCTAGGACGGAGGACGCCTTGAACCTGAACTTGTGCAAAGTTTCCTATCGCTTCTTGCGCTTGTCCTCACCAGCTGGGGAGGCTCCCCGCCAAGTGCTGTCCTCGCACCCCCTCCGTGGAGGGCACAGGAGTTTCCACCACACACAGCCCAGGTGGCAAAAGCCTCCCAGGCCGCTGGGGCTCTGCCTTGTGCACTGGAGATCTCTAGGCTCTGAGCTTCAGACCCCCAGCCCAGCTACGGTTCTGCAGTCAGAAAGGAAGTCGGCGCCTCTGGAGGCGAAGGAGGGAGGGAGACTGGGACCCTATGGTCATGCCCGTGGCCAAAGCTGCCATCTTGGCCCCTCCCGGGGAAGGGCTGACTGGCAAATGTGAAAAATCAGCTTTCCATTAAAATTCTCAAGGCAATTACAAAGTTGGCTCCTGGTTTGACTTCCTCTCTGGAACCCCTCTTCCTTGTGAGCAGTAAGCACTGGATCCTGGGCTTGTCACGTCCAATGTCCACCCTGGGTTCGGGGGCAGACGGAGCAGGTACCTAGTGGCTTATCCACCCTGGGGGTAGGGGACAACAGTCACTGCCTCCCACCCCCAAATCCCCAAGAATTTTTCACTCCTGCCACACACCTCCCTGTCTCCGCAAATTGTGGCTGGCCATTCTACCCATTCTGCTCGCCTTCCACCCCAGCCTACCTGACAACTCACCCCAGTCAATTTCTCTGACACCACTCTAGCCCCTGGAATGGGATTAATGATGATCCCAAAGCACCTCAGTTCTTTCCAATAAAGAGAATGAGGTATTCTGTGGGTTTCTGTGAATGCACCAGCACTTTTCAGGTGGAAGCATTACAACTTCCCATCTCTGTGTCCCTTCACGTGAACATATTTTAGCAAAATATATCCTCACAACTACAGCTCACTCTGTGCCAGGCATTGTCAGCCCCTAACATTCACCATTGTCCATCCTCATATCCCTTTGGGGAAGGCTGTATTATTAACCCTGTTTACAGTTGGGGAAAACTCTCGGCAATGAAAGTAACTTACCCAAAGCCCAAAAGCAGGAAAAAAAGAAAAAAGTGGTGGGGGCAGGGGGAGGGAGGAGGGTTATAATTAATGTTTAAACCCACTGGGTCCAAGGTCCAATGCCAAAGCTGATGAGGTTTTTTTTTTCCCCATCTTTAATTTGCAAAATTTCAAACTTACCGAAATTTGCAAGAATACATCCATATACCCTTCATCAAGATTCAAATGTTAACATTAACCACATTTGCTTTATCTATGTGCATATAAGTGTGTGTTTATACATAAACACATACATTACATATATGATTGGTATACACATTTTTTTCTGAAATGAGAGTAAGTTGCAGATGTGCTCTCACTCCCCTCTAACAGCTTGTAGTAAGTCTCTCCTAATAACAAGGACAGTCCATGTAACCACAGAATGAGAAGCATTTAACGTTGACACGATATTGCTTTCTGATTAACATACAGCCCACGTGCAGATTCTCTCAACTGTCCCAATAATGTTCATTAGAGCTATTTTTTAAAATCCAGGATCCATCTATCTATACATATTGAATTTAGCTGTCATGTCTTTTTAGTGTCCTTTAACAGACGTTTTTTTTTGTCCTTAAGTACACTGCTATTTTTTTCAGAAGTTCAGATCATTTTTCTGTAGAATACTTCCTAAGGTGCATTTGCCTGATTGCTTCCTCATCATGAAATTCAGTTGAACATTCTGGGCAGGAAAACCACATGGTGACGCTGTCTTTCTCAGCACAGCACATCAGGGCACATGACGTCAGTATACTGGAAGTGATGGTCTAGTCGGAGGACTTGGTGGCCCATGTTTTCTCACTACAGCGAGCTGCCTGCTGTGTACCAGGCGTGTTGGGAGGCGCTGGGGGGGTGGGGGCGGAATGGAGAGGTGAATGAGCGCCAGGCCAACATCTTTACTTTTAGGCTGTTTCACAGTCCAATGAGGAAGACGGATGGACAAAGCACTGAAAGGGAAGCAGCTGTCCAAAAGGCTGAGGCCACCCTGTAGGGGAGGGGGTTACACCACTGAAGGGAGTGAGGCAGGGTGCCTGGGGGAGAAAAGAGACTTCAGAGGTGAGAGAACATGGAAATGGAGTTTGAAAGATCTGAGAAGCAATTTTAACAGGGAGAAAAGGAAACAAAAGGCCTTCCAGGTAGAGGGAGGGGACAGCATACACAAAAGTAGAAGGTGTGAGTGGCAGCTCCTCACCGCATTAGTAAGAGCACTGTCTCTCACTGCCAAGGAGGGAGGTAAGGGGCTTCCACGTTTTCTGCCATTTCCCCGATGAGGAACCCTAAGGGCAATCCCTGCCTCTCACGTGGGCTGTGTGAGCTGGAAGTTCACTTCACTAAAAGTTCCTTTTCAAATGTATGCCTCACCACTGCCCCTCAAGCTAGCCGGACAGGCATGGCTTTCCCACTTTTCAGATGAGGAAACTGAAGCTCCCAGGGGCAAAGTGACTAGCTCAATTCACAGGCCAGCAGATGCCGGGGCCGGGGCTCAAGAATGGAACCGGAATGTTCCATTTACCTAGGAGATCTGATTGCTTAGCACTTGGGGGCTTCTACCTCCAGACGCCCAGAAACCCCACCAGTCCCTCTAGTGCCACAGAGGACAGGTCTCCCCAAGCTGTGCCCCCACTGCCACAGGGGAGTGGTCCCTGTAGTCCCCCTGACCCAGGTTTCCTCTGGCCCCGCCAGGAGAAGAGGATGGCCTACAGAACATTAGCCGAGATCTTTGACATCAACAGGTCAATATTCAAGTGCCCGTGGCTGGAATATCCAGAAAGGACCAAAGGTGAGGCTGGAGAGGACAGGAGTGGAGTCAGGGACAGGGGCCTGAGAAGGAAAGGTCCCTGGCACCCACTCCCTGGCAGGGTCCAGCTGATTTCAGCAAATCCATGGGAGGGGTCAGGGCGGACTGCTGGATACTTTGAGGGCTCGCCACAGCGCTCGAGGAAAGTTTCCAGGGCCCTCGAAGAGGGACGTCTCTGTGTCTCACCAGCTTCTGCTCCCTCATCTGCACCCTCCTCTCTACCCAACTCTCACATCTCCAAGATTTTAAGTTGTTCCCAATGCCTAATGCATCTATCTGGCTAACGCCTACCTGGACTGAAGACTCAGCTTATGAATCATCTCTGAAATCTTCCCTGCTCCTCCCAACCAGGTTAGGGGCCCCTCATCTGTACCACCTATGCCTTTATCCATCTTCATCTTTGTTTCCTCTTGTTAATCACTAATAAACAGTGCTGTCTCACCAGCTGGACCAGTGCTTCCCAAAGTCTGTTTCCAGAAGAAATGCAAATTCTCAGACCCTGCCCCAGGTTTACTGAATCAGTACTCTAGGGCTGATGAGTCTGCAGCTGGGCATAAAGAACTCGGTGTTTTAACAAGCTCTCCAATTGTTTCTAATGCACGCTCAAATTTGAGAACCACCGAATGAAACCAGTGGTTTTCACATGAGCTGCACATTAGAATCCCCCGGGGAGCTTTCAAAAATGCCTAGGCCCCTTCCTCAGAGAATCTGATTCAACCCATCTGAGGTGGGGCTGAGGCACGTTAAAAATTCCCCCAAATAATTCTAGTATGCAGCCAGGGCTGAGAACCACCGCGGTGCTAGACCAGCGCTTCTCAGATTTCAACACGCATAGGAATCTTGCTCAAATGAAGATCCTGATTCAGGAGGTCTGGGGTGGAGCCTGAGATTCTGCATTTCTGAGAAGCTCCCAGGCGATGGCAGTTCTGCTGCTCCACTGGCCACATTCTGAGCAGCAAGGTACCAGAGAACCATGAGCCCCTTAAGGACAGGAACTATGCCTTATTTACCTCCCTGGTGTAGTGTTCACTAAACGCTGAACGATGAATGCCTGGATGGATGATTCTTCAACCCTCCTCGGTAATCGCTGTCTCATTTGTACCACAGAATTCAGAAAAGCCATGGCTCCTGTTCACCTGCCTTTGTCCTGCTACCAGGTAAGACCCCTAACTTTTGCCACCCTGCGAGCCTGGCTAAAGGAGGAGGGGCAGCAGGCTGTCCCTTCCCATTAACGCCAGCTCACAGAACCCCAAAACTCACCCCTAGGGCTGCCACTAACTCTGTGTGACCTTGGACAAGTCGCTTTCCCTCCCTGAGGCTCAGGAGCTTCCTCTGCCACAGGCCAACCCCTGCCCAGCTCCCTTTGTTGGGTTGCTATGAGAGAATATCTCTATAAGGCCTGGGCTATGCAGGCAGTACTTAATGAGTCATTTGTATTAATTAACACAGGGATCCTCCTAGTTGGAGTTGCCAGATAAAGTGGGATGCCCAATTAGCATTTCCGATGAACGATGAAGAATTTTTGAAATATGAGTATGTCCTAAATATTGCCTTCATTACCTGAAATACGAATTTAACTGGACATCTCGTTTCTTATTTGCTTGGTTTTTACTAATCAGAGTGAGTCAATGCCACATTTTCTGAAATCACGACAATCCCGAGAACTCTTATTATGATCTCAGTCACCAAACTGGGAGGCGCTGGCTGAAGCCCCTCTTCCTCATTGCTCAAAGATCTGTGGTAGAAACAGGGAGGCTTGAGAAGAGACAGGAATGAATCCTAATGGAGTCTTCAGAGAAAGACCCTGACCCATCCAGAACCCTCCACTACACTCAGAGCTACAGTCTCACAACTGTTTAAGAGATAGATTATTTGAAGAATAATCTGCTTTTCCAATGAAACTGTTAAGTCCTAGGAGGGCAGGGACGATAACTGGATCCCCAGCACAGAGCACAGTGCTTGGCATCTAACAGGTGCACAATAAATTCTGTTGAATACCCGAATGAACGAACAGAAGCCTGCGTTTCGCCCCTCTTTACTCCGCATCTCCCTCATTCCTTTCCCTTTTCATCTCCTTTTGCCCAGATGACATTTTTAAAGTGCTTTGAGAGCCTCAAATAACCAAACTGTGTACAGCTGTGCCTCGGTATCCACAGGGGATGGGTTCCAGGACTCCTGTGGATATCAAAATCCACAGATACTCAAGTCCCTTACATAAAATGGTGTGGTGTTGGCATGTAACTTACACATATCCCCACAAGCACTTTAAATCATCTCTAGATTACTATAATACCTAATATCATGTAAATAATATGTAAATAGTTGCTGCGTGCAGGACAAATTCAAGTTTTTGTTTTTGTAACTTTCTGGGATTTTTTTTTTCCCAAATATTTTCATTCCACAGTTGGTTGAAGCCATGGATGTGGAACCCGCGGGTATGGAGGGCCGACTGCACTCAGATCAATTTATGATCAACAATGGCTCCACAATCTTTCTCACAACCACCTTGGGAGGGGTACAGAACAAGGATTATTGGCTCCATTTTGCAGATGAGAAGACTGAGGTCTTGGAAGGGTCTTGCCGAGTCACACAGTGGGTTAGGAGGTGGCTGTGACTTTAGCTCAGATGAGAGGCTGAAAGCCATTCCTCTCACCTAGTCCCTTCTCACCTTGGTCATTTTCCTGGCTGAGGAATGTCCCCTGTGATGGCTCTGCCACTCACACCCCCAGGTGCCAAAAGAAGAGATACCCCCAAGTCCGGAGTGCTGGAGGCAGAACCCCAGTAAGCCAAGCTCCGTACCTTACCGCCACTCCAAGAAGCCTGAGATCTACCCGCACTGGTGCACCCTGTATGATCAGCAGAAGGAACAGGAGGCCCAGAAGACATTGTGGAAAATGAGAAATCACCCTAGGTGCGATTTGCCCCCTCCTATTCTCCACACCTTCCACATCTTCTAGAAAAGAAAGCAAAGAGAAGAAAGGGGTAAGGTGGGGCTGGGGGTGGGGCAAGTCAGCCTACAGATCCCAGAGGAGAGCCTGGGGTAGGAGGCTGATCTGTCTTCCTCTGGTCCCATCTCTGAGCTGGGCTGAGAACCAGGCGCAGAGGAGAGTTTGTGAAGTAAGGAGGGAGGGAACAAGGGGACCAGGGCTACCTGTGAAATTTCTCACACAGGTACCTCAAAGAAGACACCCTCATCCAAAATTTCCATCTCCCCATGCGCAAGTTGACTACAAAATCTCAGATGGAATCCAAGCCCTTAGACCCTACTGGGGACCCCCTGAAGTGGCAAAGATTAAAGGTCAGGGACCATGGTGGGAAGGAGAATGGGGAGACTCGGGAGACTCCCCTCCTGTGGGTTCCCTGACCTCGGGCTCACACCATTCTTCAGCCCTCGGCCCCTGCCTGTAGAACAGAGGGAGGGGAGGAGAAGGGGCTGGATGAGCTCTTTCCAGTTTGAAAGTGTAGCTGTAGAGCTACATGTATCCCTTTCTTCCCTTCCACTGGCTGGCTCCCTTGGATGGGCAGGAGCTCACAGAAAGCCTGAAATCTCCCAGAGAAGATGAGCAGTTCTACGCAGCACAGGTGAGAAGTGGCCAGGCTTGAGGAATGTGGGCACAGGTAGGAACTGGCTGGGCTGAGGGGAGAAAGATGCTTGAGGTGGAGGGTGGGGGTGGGGTGGTAGTCCAAGAACAGACTCCACCCCTGTCCAGAGGATGGTAACGCCTGGTGCTGGTCTCCAAGGTCTCTTCCCTTTCCTCTACCCTTGTCCCTGCAGGCTCTGGGGTGCCTGGGCGTCAGTGACAAGTTTATCATGGAAGCACTGTGGCAGGTGGTGAGTCTGGGGCTGCAGAGTTCGGAAGAGGAGGAAAGAGGGCCTGACGTGTGTAGAGCATGGGCACATGGGCATAGACAGGGCTCACCAGGGTCAGGGACAATGGGTCAGATCCAGCGAAAAGAGCGCCACCTTGTGCAGCATGTCCCCATCTCATGTCCTCAGCTTCTTTAAAGGGCAGCTTGATCTAAAAGGATGGGAAGAGGAAATCTGAAGATTCCCTTTGTCTAACAGAAAAGATGTTCAGCTGACAAGCCAGAAGGGAGCTGGTATTGAGTTCACCCTCTACCTTAACTGAGTCAGTGTCCCGTGTCTATAAGCCAATTAAGAAGGAGGGGGACTGTGTTCTGATCCACAATCTCGTTTAAATCTTCCCATACCAGGACTAAATAGTAGTATCTGCATTTTTCTAATGAGAAAATAGAAGTTCTGAGAGGCCAAGTGACTTGCCCAAGGCCACATGGTTACCAGATACCATAAAGGGGCTTGAATGGAAGTCTCACTCCCAAGTTGTCTTCCTTCCATCGCACCACCCTGCCTGTGCTGTGTTTGAGCAAAGACAGGTCATTCTCTAGGGCTCGGTTTCCTTGCTTGTCAAATGAAAGGTTAAGCTGAGATGATTCTTAAAGCTCTGACATTCCATCATCTTATGGCATGTTTCCACCACTGCCTCTTAAATCAGGCCCGGACTGGTCCAAAGAGAGTGAAGCATGAGGCCTGTCGAACCCTGGCCATCCTGGGTGAGTATGTCCTCTCCCTGGGTGGAGTAGGGGGAGGCGAGGAAGGGGACAGTGCAGCCACTCTCCCCTTCCCCTGTCTGGGAAGGACAGAGGAAGTGGAGTGTACACCCACTCCAGCCTAGCTGCTGGCAGGGTCTGGGAACCATCCTGGTACTGCTGGGGGCAGAGAGGAAGGTGGGGTGTAAAAGGCAGGAGGGACTGGAGGGAGGTAGAGCGGACCTGCAGTCATGCTCAGCCAGCTGCCCCGGTGTCCCGGGTGGACGGGCAGCACCGTGGGATCCAGTACTTGGAAATTCTGTCCTAAGGGCCCGGTGGAGTCAAATCAATCCTGGCAGAGAGGAGCAGCCCCTGAGGCTCTGCCCTGACCTGAGGATCCTCCCTGTCCAGGTTGCCTGAATAAGCACGTGATCCAAACTCTCATCAAACAGCTGAAGGGGCAAAATGAGGGGCAAAGGATGGACACTCTGACGGGGCTTCGAGCGGCTCTGAACGCATGGACTGCTGTCCCCAAAGACCAGGTGCCTGGGGGGAGAGTCAGTAACGGGTGAGGTAAGCAAGGTAACTGATCGTGTTGGCTGGGGGTTTGGCCAAGGAGAAGGTAACCTAGCTCCTGGCTCTGATGCAGGAGGAAGATGTCCTTGTGGAGTTCCCTGTGGAGTAAGTTCCCTGAACAGAAACCACTTAACTGGCGAAGCCACTTAACTACTCATATAACCTCTGAAAAGCCAGCTTCAGAGCTGCAACTTGCCCATCTCTAAAATTGATAGTGATTATTTTATAGCATTGTTGACAAGATTAAATGAGATACTGTACATAAAGCACCTAGTTCAATGCATGTGCTCTTTAAATGAGAAACCATCATTATTATTATCATCCATAAGAATAACCTATTAAAGGAAAACCTCTGTCAAGAGGGGACAGGGACCAAGAAAGTGCTGACACTACTTGAGATTTTTCCCTTTTCGGTTCTCTTACTTTGACCTCATCAATGCTCCATGTAAAATAGAATTCATCCTTCATCTATTTACTCAACAAACATATATTAAACAATTATCATGTGCCAGGTACCACCCTAGGCCCTTAGGATACATCAGTGAACCAAGCAGGCAAAGAAACCTGCTCTCAGGGAGCTTACATTCTAGTGGGGGGAGACATTTAATTACATAGTATGTTAGAAGTGACAAGTGCAATGGAAAAATTACATAGCAGGGTGAGGGTGATCAGGAATGCCAAGTGGAGATGGGGGTAGGTTGCAATTTTAAACATGGACGACAGGGAAGGCCTCATTTAGAAGTTGTCGTTTGAGCAAAGATGTGAAGAAGGTGAGGGGTAGTCCGCAGATATCTGAGAGAAGGCATTCCTGGCGGAAGGACAAATCAACGCAAGGGCCCTAAGGCAGGAGCACGCCTGGCATGGTCAAGGAACAGCCAGGAGGCCACGTGGTGGAGGTGGAGTGGGAAGAGAGAAAGCAGGGGGAAGTGAAATTAGGTCAAAGCCATTACCAGGAGACTAGATCATATGTGGCCTTCTGGATGACTTTAAGTACTTGAGCCTTTCCTCCGAGTGGAATAGGCAGCGACATGATCTAACTTATATTTCAAAATGCTCACTCTGACTGCTATGTTGAGAAAGGATGAGTGGGGAGTGGGGGTCGGGGGGAGGCAAGAGTGGAAGCAGAGAGACCAGTCAGGGGCTGCTGAGGCAATCCTGGTGAGATACAATGGTGGCTTGGACCACAGTCGTTACAGTGGGATTGGTAAAAAGTTTTTAAACTCTGGATGTATTTATTTTTTTAACTCTGGATGTATTTTAAAAGTAAAACTCTGACAGATTGAATGTGAGTTATAAAAGACAGTGAGGAAACAAGGATGAAGCCAAAGTTTTTGGCCTCAAACTGAAAGGATGGAGTTGTTATTGACTAAGATAGAGAAAGATGCAGGCGGAACACGTTTGGAGGTAACACCGTGAGTCCAATTTTGGACAAGTTATGTTTGAGATGTCCAATGGACTTCCAAGGGAGACAGCAAGTAAAGGGCTAGATGTATAATCTGGAGGTTAGACGTCTGAACTAGAGAAAGAAATCGGAGTTATCAGCACATAGACAGAAATTACTGTCATTTAGCTAGATGAGATCACTAAGAAATGAACCAAGAATCAAACCTTGGGGAACCCCAGTGTTAAGAGGTCAGAAATAAGAGGAAGACCTGGTAAATACTGAAAAGTGGCCAATAGGTAAGAAGACAACCAAGAGTGTGGTATTCTGAAAATCAATTGAAGAACATGTATCAAGGAAAGGAGACCAAACCATATCAAATAATAAAGGATGAAGAATTGATACAATGAATTTAACAATGTGGGAATCATTGATTATCTTAACAAGAACCATTTCGGTGGGGCAGTGGAGGTGAAGACCTAAATGAAGTGGGTTTAAGAGAGAATGGGAGGAAAGACGTTAGAGATGGCAAGAACAGACAACTTTCCAAGTTTTGCTAGAAAGAGTTGTGATTGGCATCTGGGGTAAATTCTAGAAAAAGAAAAATAACAGCATGTTTCAATGCTGAGGGATAACGATCCAGTGGTTACAAAAATGAAAATTTTGAAGACAGTGGGAAGAATTTTGCAGCAACAGGATGAGATTGAATACACTAGTGGAGAGATTGACTTTAGATAGCTGGTCGTAGTCCATAGTAACAAGCGGGAAGGAATAACATACGGAGGTGCAGGTGTTGAAAGTTGGAGAGAAGTGGTGGTAAATGTCTCTGAAAATTATTTTCTAGTTGCTTTTATTTGCTTAGTAAAGTAGGAAGCATAGTCTCATCAACTTAAGAGAACAGAGGAAGAAGTGTTAAAGATTCCAGAGGAAAGAGTGTGAATGAGGAAGGTGGGAAAGAGAATTGCCCGGGGGAAAACAGTATGATCACTAGGCAGTATTAAGGGTCTACATCACAATTTCTTCTCTAGGAAGTGTAGGCACAGAGTCAGTGGAGAGTTGAGGACCATGAAGCAAGACAGGGTAAAGGAGTTGAGTGAGCAGGACCACGGAATTTAAGCTGGGTAAAGAGGGAAGAAAGTGGGAGCAGTGAAAATGTGCTCAGTGGACTGTTAGTCTTTGTGGAGTCCAACAACTGTTGACATCAGAGGTGAGCTAGAAAGACAGGAGGAGATGGAGATCAGAGAAGTTGCAGTAATGGGTAATGATAAAGTCTCTTTGTGGGAATTAGTCTCTGACGCAGAACAGACCAGGTTATTGGAAGAGAGGCGTTGGGTCAATGACATACACATTTTTTCAAATGCCAGGAATGAAGACAGCAGAAGGATGTGACCTAGGAGCAAGTAGATGACAGCAAAAATAAGGAGAAGTGGGTAAAATAATCTCATGACAGGAGATTCACTTTAGGGAGGAGGAAGAATGGTCTGGAAGCAGTAATGACTGCCCTCTTAACAAAGCCTGGCTGATGACACGGTCCCAGCACCCATTTCACCTCCCGTCTCCCGCTCAGAGGACTCAAGTCGAGGATGAAGATAAGTTGGTGTCGGTGCTGCAGATGCTGATAAAGAAGCCATTCAGTGAAGCAGCCAGAGAGGCGGCGCTGTGCTTGGGTTTCCTGAGGCCCTGCAGCCACACAGCCCGAGACTACCTGCTGCAGTCCCTGTGCCAAGGGCCGAAGACCCAGCAGATGAAGGTGTGCGGGGTACTAGCTGTGCGGTGCTCCCTGGGAGAACTGGAGAAACAGTGCTGACTTTGGTGGGGTCTGGACCCTGTCATCCTTACCCTAAAAGCAGCTTTAGCAGGGAGCCCTGCAGGGTTCTGTGTGTGTGACTATGTACATGCATGAGTACGGGGTCATATGGATGAAAGTGTATACGTGTCTGTATATATTCAGTTTGTATGGGCGTTCACTTATGTATCTGCACACATGTGCACACACGAAGTTGTGCTCTCATTCAAGAGGCCAAGAGGGAGGAGAAAGGACCCCACCTGTTCCCTATAAGTTCCAGCCCTCAAGTCTGCTTGGCCATCCAGATGCCACTTGGTCCTGCATACCCCACTCCGCCCTGCCCACCCCACAGGCACTTACTATGCTGGTCAACATAATGGGTGTGCACTCAGCCACCGTCATCAGGACCATCCTAGACCAGCTGCGCTATTCCAGTGTCCTTGAGGTAAGCTCTAGGGCTGCCTAGTACCCTCCCTTCTCCAGCACTCAGACAGGGCTGGGGGATGAGGAAGGGAGTCTGTCCTTCATGCCTTCCCCAACCTGCCCTCAGCACCGCTTTGAAGCCACCCAGATGCTCAAGACCATCGGGCTAGAAAGGATCCAGGCACAGGGTTTGGAAGGACTCACATTTGAACTGCTCAGACGGAAGACATATAATGAACCCTTCTTCGTAAGTGAGACCAAAGCTCCCAAGCCTGGGCAGCCTGAACCTGTCCCTTTACCTTTCTCTGAAGACCCCCCACCCC